CATTTGTGGTCATTAGGTCAAAGTCACAGTGATACTTTGTGTAAAATTCTTGTCTGATCAATAATTTAAGATTGATTGAGCCTAAGTTTGTTGAATTTAGTAGGGGCATTACCCATGGCCAATAAATGACCACTGATTATTAGCTCATTAGGTCAAAGGTTAAGTTACAGTGACAATTTGTGTAAAATATTTGTCCTGTTAATAACTTGAGAAGTAATAGGCCTATTAATTTGTTAAACTAAGTATGGACATTGCCAATAAGTTACCAATATTCATTTTGAGGTCATTATGTTAGTGACACTGTGTAAAATCTTTGTTTGAACGTTAACTTAAAAAAAGAATCAGCTTCAGTTTGTTTAATTTGCTATGAACATTACCCATCAACAGGAAATGACCCTACTGATTTTAGGACATTAGGTCAAAAGTCAATGTTACAGTAACATTTTGTTTCAAATCCTTGCACAATCAATAATTTACCACTGTAAATGGAAATGAAGCGGGGCAAAAATGTCCAATGGACACATTCTTGTTTTTTTTTTCTATATGTAAATAAAATAAAATTTACTTTGAATTGTGGAGTATTGTTTTTTAGGAAGTACAAAAAAAGGTTTGATAGGAATTGTAAATTATTTTATCAGTATGTAAATCTTGTGGAAGATATTGTACAGAATGATATTGTACAGCTGTTGGATATTGATGGTCACATGATAATATTACCATCTCTCATCTACTTTTGAGAAACTTATTGTATTCAATCAAATAATTTCAACTATATTGTAATGGAAAGATTTTTGTCGTGTAATATTCATTTTTAAGCAATTTTATTATGTTACATTGTATATAGTTTCAAATGCTGGCTTTCATTAACTAAATGTACATTTTAACAAATGATTTATGATGTGATATAAATGTATATATAATAATATTTTGATCAGTTTTTTATACTGATGGTTTAATCAAGTATAATTTTGCATCCATTTTATCATATAGGGAATAAAAATGTGAAATACTTGTTCACATGCTTATGTAAAATTTGTTCACAAATTATCTGTTGTCTTTCATTATCCATTTCTTCTTTTAATAATTGACATTTTTTGCATGCTATAAAGTTGGATAAATGTTTACAGCCATATATAGATCTAAAGTAAGCAATGCAGAGCTGTTATGGCAATCCTATTAAGGTTCTTTACTTTATTGGTAACTTTTTATAGTCATGATAAGAATTTTAATAATTTACTTATAGCATATAGACCTATTACAATATACTGATGTATTAAATGTATTGATTGAAATATGTTTATAAATATGTAGGCAAACATTTAGAATTCCACGTATGAGAACTGCAGATATTGTGAAGAAAGAAATAACAGATCTAGAAAATCTTCTTAAAGGTATTTTATGTTTGTTAACTGATATATGCCTTTTAATGTTGACTAGTGTTGATGTCTGTGTCCAAATTTTGGTTAAATTTTTTGTGCAGTAAAATATTTTTTACTCTCACTTGTTTATTTCTATAAGGATTTATTTTTAACATATGTTCCTAATTATAACCCGCATACTACATGTTTATGAAAAGGCTCTCTATAGCACTCATATTTCCAGATTTATCTTCCCTTTATAATTAAAATTTTTCTTAGAAATGTTATATTTTATTCCTTGAGGGATTTACTTTAAACTTTGTTCCATTTCAGGTGTAGGGAACAAGGATAGTAACTGTTCAATGGTTAATTATCAATCAGAAATAATCAGCTTTCAGAATTTGCTCAATGATACATTGGAAATGGTGCCAGAAAGGTAGATTTGATTTACTTCTTTATTGTAAACCATATCTGTCAGCATAGAACAATTTATTATTATGAAAGTTTGAAATGTGAAAGTCAGTCTATAATTATATCAGGCTATGTAAAATCTTTATATTTTGATTACTTGACGGTTAATGTTTCTTGTTATATAGGCATACAATCCTTTTTGTCATTGAAAGTTGAATAAATCTTAGGAAAATTTTAAAACTTCAATTCACTTAATAATTGCAAGAAATATCATTCATGATGATTAGAGCTATACAATTCACTGGGAACAAATTTAGCTTGTATTTTCCCATTTTCTTACATTGGTTGTGTTACACCAAGTGGTTTTGTTACACCAAGTTTATGCTTTTATGGGGTACATGCACATTGTAGGCTATGGTTTTGTATAAAATTCTCTCATTTTCAGATTGAAGAATCCTCCACCCGAGTCACCAAAGGACAGGGTATGGTTTTGATAAATACAATTTATAGTCCTTAAATAAAATATGCTGGAACTGAAATACTCTGAAAACTGGAATCAAAACCTGGAATCAAAACTGTTTTGAACAAATTTCTTATCCATAGCATATGTAAAATGTATTTTGTTTCATACTTTTTTCATTTCTGAAGTTAGTAAATTCATAAGTTTATCACTTTCAGTGCTTTTTTTATTATTTTATAGTTATGTTCATGTTGTATTTTCTATACTACAGTTTGGGTTACACAAGATGGTAGCTGAACATGATATTATCATACAGAACATTGAACAACGTGTACAGGAATGTAGACAGGAACTAGCAGTCATAGAGCAGGAGGCCGGCATCGATACAGCTAGACAACATTTCCGAGATAGATCCAACTCTGTATTGTGATAACTCAACAGAAATAAAGCTCTAACTATTATATAGTAAAATGAAGATATAAAGATAATTTAGAGAATCTCAGCACAAGGATAAACATCAGGACTTCTCAAATGTAGGAAATCATGAACCAGTATCAGAAAATGTTCAGTATCAGTTTTGGAAAGTTAGAAAATGATTGATGAATAATGAGTTAAAGTTATATGTATAATAAGTATAGACAGTAACAAAAATTGAGCAAAAATTTCAACTCTTTGGTAAACTGGGTATTTTTCTTCTTTTTTATTGCTAGGGAATTAGTTTTTGAAGCCTGTTATATTAAGAAATTATTAGAACCTTGCCTGGATAAATACATGGTAGAATAAATTAAGAGTTTCGTACAATTACATTGTAGAAAAGATTAGAATTAGACAACCTTTACATTGTGGCTATTGTTGTTTGTGTGTTTTAAACTTTATTGTGTATGATTAGAAAAGCTGCTTGGATGCTACATATGCTTTCTAATTGCAAGTCTAGAATACTCATAATTATGTAATATGGGAGGCTGTTTACTTTTACTAGCTTACCTCGGCACAAATGCCCTGCATTCACCACTGTCATCATAATCATAATAGGTAGCTAGCTGTCAATAAATTTTGTCTCATCAAAAATTTGGTAACTTTTGTTGAATTATTTGACCATTAAGGTTGTAATGTATCACAGAAGTGTTATCTTTTTGGTCAGGGAAACAAACAACTTCAGCAGTGTATGTGCCATAATTGTCTTATTTTCATTTTACACACACATGTACATTTCATAAACTTAGATAATTTTATATTTTTAATAAGCACATTTTATTTAGGGCAGCCAAGCACATTAGAGTTAGGACAGCCAAAAACATTAGAATAAGGGCAGATAGGCACATCAGAATTATGACAAATAAGCACATTTAAATTATGACAATCACATTAGAATTAAGACAAGGACATAAGAATTATGACAGGCAAGCACATCAGAATTAGCACAGACAAACACATTAGAATACTGACAGACAAGCACATCAGAATTATGACAGACATTCACATATGAATTAAGACAAGCACATCAGAATTATGAGACATGAATTAAGACAAGCACATCAGAATTAGAACAGACAAGCACATTAGGATTAGGACAGACAAGGACATTAGAATTTTGACAGATAAGTACATGAGAATTATGACAATTACATTATATTTAAAACAGACAAACGCATAAGAATTAGGACAGACAAGCATATCTGAATTAGGACAGACATGCATTAGAATTAGGACAATCACATTATATTTATGACAGACAAGAGCATTAGAATTAGGACAGACAAACATTTCTGTCAGACTGGGATATGTTTATCCTCCTACTTTAAGATATAACTCAGATTTTTCTCAAACATAAACTTCTGTTTATATGTACAATAGTTTACTCTTGTAACTAGACAGAAGTTGATATTGATCAATGAATGAACTATGGCAGGTTTCCATTGACTCAATAGTATGCTTTTACTGTAAATTTAACAAATATCATCCAATATTACAGAAGTATTAATTTGATGTTTAATTTCAGTTTTTCATCTGAATAATGATAGATTGTGTTTGAGTATGTAAATTAACATTATAAAACTCGTGCTAAAGCCAATTCCAGTCATATTCCAAATGTAACACAGTTTTGTTTATAATTTTACCAGTGGTAATTGTAGTGACTATAAACATACATGTATCTTTCAATCAGAAATAAATATCTAGATGTAATGATCTTTCAGTGAAAATGGAAGCATGTTAACATCTATTTAAGGCTTACAGATAATTTTAGACAGCAGATTAATTTTGGCTAGAATAGAACAAAACACGCAGTTATAGTTTTATTCTGTTTATTTATGATGATAGTGAATTAAGATTACAGGAATACAAATATGTGTAAAGGTTAGATAGAATTTGTTTGTTTTTTTCATTGACAGTTATTGTAAGTAATTGACGTATGTATGAGTAATCAACAATGCAATTATCCAGTAGAACCGTGATGTTTTTAGGTAGACATTGCTTCAGATGATGTATTAAGTTGTTAAAGTGCTTAAGTTAAATAATGATTTGAAAACATGTGAACAATATAAAAGGAATGTATAGGGAAAAAAAAGGAAAAATGTATTAATGGTTAAAACTTCTTATTAAAGAATTTAAAGTATTCTAATTAGATTAACCATGAGAGTGTACTGTTTTGTCAATGTTGTCAGGTATGAATGCAATGCTAAAAATTTACAAGATACATTTAAGATTACATATCATTTCAATACATTGATTTATAACAGATTTTTTATAAAAATATATAACCAAGGGTATCATAAAATTTTGTTGTGTTGGTAAAAAATGATATTTTGCGGGGAATTTTATCCCGAGGCAGGAGATCGGGAGACATTGGACCAAAATTGTGGGCATGTATGTCACCTGGAAATAGGTCATGACATTATAGTATTATAAAGTTGAGAGTTCCCTTGATGATCTTGTTTATCATATTTTGAATTTTCTTTTTTTTAACAGAATATACATTTACATGTTTATACAATTATGTTAACATTTATCCCTTCTTTTAATATAATTGATGGAATATAAATAAACTAAATACATGTACAGGAAAAACAAAATCATATCCATGTACACATGTTGGAGAATCAAAGTTGTATTTTCCTTGTTAAGTATATATATTTTGCTAATATTTTTTATATCGTTTTATATTGTTAAGAAACCGTAATATTTTTTATATTGTTTTATATTGTTAAGAAACCGTAACAGTTTTTTGTTGTCAGTTTCAATTTAGAATGTGATAAATGGCTAGAGAAGTAAAAGTATTTCATAAACACAATTCTTTCTTTATATTTGCAACATTATACCTACAGCAGTGTTGCATAAATACAATGTTTACATTGTATACAAATATATTCTAATATTTCATAAGTATAATTTTTTTTTAATTTCTAGTTATTCATATGACCTAGCAATACAAACATGTTCCAACTTTAATTAATTTGAACACAATAATAAAGCACCCTTTGATTATAAAAATATCTGCAGAGGTGTTCCATAAATGAACTGTAAGTACCAAACTTTTTTTTCTTGTGAACAATATATGAAAACAAATACACAAAAGTTTATAACAATGATACAAAACTGTCTTAATTAACCAGACTATATCCTGATGTATATCTTAACAACACACCATGCAATTACTTAAAAAAAAAAATTAAAGTTCAAGATGCTGTTTCATATGGCTGAATATAAAAGCATGTGTCAATTATTGCACCTTCTTTAGTACTTATTGTTAGTCATGTTTCCTCATCTGCCATATACATGTACTGTATAGAATGAACTATGATAAATATCAGTGGTATGGAAACAAGATTACTAAGAAATAGATTAGATAATGACTAGTTTCATAATGAGAAAAACAATAATCTAAAAAAGAGGTATTCAAAACTTTGACTAAAGTGACTTGGAAACAAAAATAAAATATAAAAAATATCTTAAGGAATAGTAACCTTTGATTCTAATAGCTAAAAACTGTGTTTTAAAAAATATTGATGACTAGAGCTTTATTTAGCTATTTAGATTTAAACTGAAGAAAAAGAAATTGAAAATTATGTACAACAATAAAATATGTATGACAATAAATATAACAAGAGCCACCACCTAAAGGGGGCCAAACTCGACTTTTTCTTATTTCTAAAGTCAAACACATCAGAGGAAGAATATTTACTATAGTAAAGAGTACTCTTACAAAAGCATAATTTTTGTAACAAATAAAATTCAAATACATATTAAAGGTCGAGGTCTCATTTTAATTCATCATCATTTTATGTGTTCTTTTGTCCAAGAAGGAATTAAATCTATAAATAAATAACAAAATAACTTCAATTTAAGCAAATTTCTATAATTTAATTGACATTGACAGTCAAGGTCAAATAAAGATAAAGGTCATGTCAGAATCATTCAACATGTCCATTTTGTCATTAGTGTTATTTTGTCCAAGTATGAATCAAATCTGTAAGTAAATAAATAAAGATAATTTGACCATGACATAACTGTTCTTTTGTTAATCCATGATAAATTAAAAAGTTATGACCAACAGTAGCAAAATTTACTTACTTGACTTTAAGTGTCAAGGTCAAATTAAGGTCAAGTTCAATTAAATTTCCAGAGATTTATGTGCACAAGTATGAAGATAATACATTCATTAATCAATCATAGCCAAAAAAATGAAATAAATGAAATTACAATGATTTGACTAAGGCCAAGGTCAATAATAGCAAATTGTAATTTATGAACAATATTTGGTGAGATTTACAACAATATGTTAAAAAGATTAATGAAACTGTAGAATGCTTGGTTTTTGGCCGACGGTAAAATATTTTAACATATTTTTAAATGCAGCTTAAAAGTTTCTGGATGGGAACGACAACCTGACTGTAGCAATTGCTCAAAAAAAAAAGCTAATAAATGATGAATAAAATAAACTCTTGAGCAAATAATTTTGTACATCTAAATCAATCATCTGTTTTAAAAGTACAATCAGGGTACTCTGCCCTGCAATATTTCCACTAATTTGGATGTGTCAATATTACCACCAGAGATAACACAGACAATATTGCCTTTCCCAGCCTGGCCTGCCAGTGCTGCTGCTACTGAGCTTGCCCCAGCACCTTCAGATATCACATGATTCTTCTCAGCTAGAAGCTTTATAGCATCAGCTATTTCTCTAAGGCTTACAACTAATGAACCACTTAAAAGATTTTTAACCATTGGCCACATTTCCTCTAGAACAGACTTGCTTCCTATACCATCTACAAATGTTGGTGTGTACGTACACGAGACAGGTTTACCTGCCTTCAATGATGCTGATAATGGTGCTGCTGTCTCGACTTCACTGGCAAACACTTTGCAACTTGGTTTAACATGACGTAAAGCAGAGGCAATTCCACAACTTAATCCACCCCCACCATATGGTACTATTACAGCATCTACATCTGGGAGATCTTCATATATCTCCACACCAGCTGTTCCATTACCTACAAGAGAATAATAAACTTCTTTGAACCTCAAAATTTAATACAAATTTATACTTGCACATGTTTATTATATAAGCTCATGAAAGAGAAAATGTTTTTTCCAGATTTATATATTGTGAAAATAAGTCTTTCAGTAGTTAACAATCACCCTTTCTAGCTGATTGAATAATCTGACACTTGATGTGAAATGTATCAGCTGAATTATTGTCATACATTTGTCCATCTTTTAATTTGGAAAACTAAAGGGATATCAGTATCAAAATTTGAGCTACCAACAGTATACATTTGTATTGCCTAGTATAACACTGTAAGCAAGCAAGCCTTGTTTTTAGTTCCATCAGGTTATGGACAGATATACAAGGTTCAATCTTTATGTTGTCTTTTTTAAATATGTATCAAACCTCTTTCAGTGATGCATCAAATTCATAACAACATATCCAGTCATCAAAACACTTAAGATAGAATGATACTGTAAGGATAAGCTTATACAAACTAGTATTTGTATTGTGCAACAATAAAGCTAGAAAATTTATTTTAACCATAAGTAGACAATGACTACATTCTTATAATGATTATTGAATATAGTCTGAATTTTGTTTTGTCCATCCAATCATTATGAATTTCCCCTATTTATGTTGCTGTAATTGTTGTAACTGTTTATATAGGATATGATCTCTATAATATATTACCTGCTATCACTGTATGATCTGACACAGGGTGTATGAACTTGCCTCCCATTCCATCACATCTGTGTGCCTTCATTATCTCCCACCAATCATCAAATGTTACCTTGTGAATTCTTCCACCCAAACCTTGCACAGAATTGACTTTAGCAGATGGGGCATGATCAGGCATGAACACATCACATGGGACACCAAACTTCTGTGTACAATAGGCTAGTCCTTGTGCAAAATTGCCAGCACTAGCTGTGTATACTCCTTCCCTCAGCTGACTTTTTTCTATGCAAGCAATTGCATTACATGCTCCTCTCAATTTAAAACATCCTATTGGTTGGAGGTTCTCTAACTTTAGATAAATCTGTCAAATAAAAAAAACCTTTGATAAAAGAAAATGTTTATGCACATGATAATTTTTTTCATACTTTAAATTATTATAAATTACAAAAAACAAAGCAAGAAAAAAAACAACAAGCTAATTAAAAGTGGTTAATTATAGAAATAGTTCATAAATACATGAAAAGGAAGAGTAGAAATTTGTAAAATAAAAGGTATTCTTTAGTATACTGCAGCAGGAGTTATCTCAATAATTGTTATATTAGCAATAGAGATGACAAATTTTTCAAAGTTTTTACTAGATACATAATTATAAGGAAAATCTATGTTCCTTGGGGCGGGGTCAATTTGACCCAAGAGCTATAATTTGAACAATTTTTGTTGAGGTTTGCCAGACAATATTTCATTCTAAATAAGATATTACCCTTGCAGTTTTCAACAATATATCTATTCTAAAAAGTGGCCAGTATTAAAAAAAAAAAGAGTAAAACCTCATATTCAGGGACAGATAACTCAAAAAGTTAGACAGTGAGGGCCATTTTTTATTTCATCAAAATGTTTCAATCTTGATTTTCTTTAATCATGCAAAGTTTAAGGACATTTTCACAGCTAGTTTAAATTTTCCTTCTTATAATCAATCACTGTAATTTCGATTGTGGGTTACATTTACCTTAATTACTAATAAAAGTAATGTATAATCCATAAGGAAATCCAAGTTCAATCATAATCTTTCTTTGGCTGATTGTTCTTTCAATATTCTGAATTTCTTTGATGGGTTTGTCCACCATCCATTTTTGGGAATGTCCAATTTCACTTTTTAAAGAAATTAATCAGCAAACAGAATAGAACCTGGCCAGACTGCATGAATGTGATTGCTGCCCTGATTTTTTATGGTGGCATTAAGATTTATCACTTTGGTTCCAGAGGGATTAGGGTTAAATGAAACTAATTATCCTTACTTTTCCATGTGGCCAATCAATATTTAATGGCAACAGTGGTATCCTTAATACATGCCCTTCAATATTTGTCCGTGCTTCTTCAATTTCTTTATAAGGAATAAAATCTGGTAAGTTCTCAATTGCTGACATGATTGTGCTGTAAAAAATATTAATGAGCTGCCGCCATGACAAAACCAACATAATGGGTTTTGCGACCAGCATGGATCCAGACCAGCCTGCGCTTCCGCACAGTCTGATCAGGATCCATGCTGTTCGCTGTCAGTTTCTCTACTTGTTATAGAGTTTGTAAGCGAACAGCATGGATCTTGATCAGACTGCGCGGATGCGCAGGCTGGTCTGGATCTATGCTGATCGCAAACGCACTATTGTTGGTTTTGTTGTGACGCGGCTCATTTATAACAGGTAAAAAACAAAAACCTTTTCAAATTAACTGCCTTTCAGTCTCTATTTTTGCATTTTCAAAAACACTAACTAAGGTGACAGTTAAATTATACTTCCATTAGAAGTCCTAAACTATGAACACATTAATGATTATTTAAAATCAAACCTTACTTGGTCCCCATAGTATATGAATTATAATTATATAGATCTAATTAAGTTTGTAAATGCTTTTTTAATTGAAATCTGACATAACTTGTATGCTGTTGACCTTGTTATCAGGTTATCATAACGAGGTCAAGAGGCCATAAAATTTATATTATTGTAATATTTATATGCTAATATATACTAGCTAATAACATGAGACAATATAAGACAATAGCCTCATCTATTTTAGGAACTTGATAGTGGAATAAGAGCAGGTCCTAAAACAAGAGCTCTCATTAACCCTTTCGCTGCCAGAGGGTTATTTATTTATTGATCACCTATTTGCCAGAAGGTTTTCTAAGAAATTACTATATTATTAATATAATAATTATTATTTGTTATTAATATTATAATAATTATATAATTATTTTTATTATTATTATTATAGAAACGGCAAAAGCAGTCTATATAGCAAATACGCCGAAAATAATAGGGACGGCATATGCTGTCCCTATGGCAGTGAAAGGGTTAAGATGCACACTCAACTGTAATTAAGCACATGTACTTGCCTGAAAGTGGGAATGATGGTCAATAATAGAAAGGTCTTGATTAATTTAATCTACTCCAAGAATCTTATCCAAAGAATTGTTATGGTCAAGTTTAAGGCATACACATGAACTCTCTCACTTTCAGGGGGAGACTCCCACTTCCTGCAGCCATACTTTCAAAGATATTTCTTAAAATAAGGGGTATAAATCACAAATTAAAGAAATCTACCTCTTATTTGTATCAGAACTTTCTTCTTTGTTTATTGCAAATTCTAAAATCTCCCTCTTTTTGAAAAAAAGCTCCCACTTGATCATCAAAAAAGCATATGTTAAGGACAGATGTTATGTCTAAAGTTAATCCATTTATAAATAGAAAATAGAAATAAGATGGCCCTAATTTTGCTCACCTGAAAAAAACAACTCTTTTTTAAAATGACAAGGTACAGGTAATATTGTACAATTATTAAGCGAAAGCAGATACAAAATCATAATCTTAAACTGATATCATAAAGTTTATATTTGTATCTGAAATAGTCTATGTATAAAAATTTTACTCTGGTTGTTTTGCTTCAGGTAAACAATAGTTATTTTGCTATACAAATTTTTGGTTTCCTCTGAAGTCACTGAATGCTATGAAAACGGTATATATAGATTCAAATGTTACTAAGAAAAGTAAATGTTTGCTATGGAGGTCACTGAAAATTTACAGTTTGCTATGAAAAGTCATTGGCTGCTATGAATTCACTGGTTCTTATAGAAATCAATGGTTGTTATGAAAAGCAAGCAGTGCTATGGGAAGTCAATGTTTCTTATGGAAAGTCAATGGTTCTTATGGAAAGTCAATGTTTGCTATGGAATGTCAATCATAATTGCTATGGGAGTCACTAATTGCTACTTCAAGTCACTGTTTGCTATGGAAGTCTATGGTTGCTATAGAAAGTTAAAGGTTGCTATGGAAATCAATGGTTGCTATGGAAAGTAACTGAATGCTATGGTAAGTTAATGGATGTTATTGAAGTTCACTGGGTGCTAAAGAAGTTGCAACTGAAAGTCAATGGTTGCTTTGGGAAGTCACTGGTTGTTATGGAACTCTCTCTTTGCTATGGAAGTCTATGGTTGCTATGGAAAGTCACTGATTGCTTTTGAAGTCACTGGTCACTATGGAAAGTGAATGGTTGCTATGGAATTCAATGGATGCCATCATAGTCAGTGGTTGCTATGGGAAGTCATTGGTTCCCATGGAAGTTTATACTTGCTATGGAATGTTAATGGTTGCTAATGGACAGCTATGGTAGTCAATGGTTGCTATGGAAAGTCAATGGTTGCAATATTGGTACAATGGAAAGGCGCTGGTTGCTACAGAAAGTTAATGGTTGATATGACAAATCATTTGGCTTTAAGGTAGTCTGTGGTTGTGATAGAAATCATCAAAACAAACTTTCAGAGTGATTTCAAGCATATTTGGATCAAAACAGTAGTCACTAGAGTGTTTACAAGATTTTTCTATTTTTAGCTCCTGTGACCTAGTTTTCCATCCGAGACGACCAATGTTCGAACTCATCTGAGCAATTAACTAGACAAGCATCCTGACTAAGTCTGATGACGAATGAGTAAAAAATGTGACCACTAGAGTGTTAACAAGGTTTTTTCATATTTCGGCAGTGTGACCTAGTTTTTTGACCCCAGGTGACCTATATTCAAACTTGACCTAGGTGGAGTGACCTAGTTTCGCGACCCCAAGTGACCCATATTCAAATTTGATAAACAAAATTTCAGACCAATTTCCAGGATATTTGGATCAAAACAGTTGCCACTAGAGTATGAACAAGATTTTTCTATTTTTAGCTCCTGTGACCTAGTTTTTTATCCGAGATGACCCATGTTCGAATTCATCAAATGTTAAATAGCGGCTTATAAAGTTTTGGAAGCCAGAACTAAGTTTGATGATGATTGAGGCAAAAATGTGACCACTAGCGACTGTTAACAAAGTTTTTCCATATTTGGGCGATGTGACCTAGTTTTTTTTTACCCCAGGTGACCCATATTCGAACTTGACTTATAAATAATCAAAACAAACTTTCAGACCAATTTCCTTAGTGTCGACAAGATTTTTCTATTTTTAGCTCCTGTGACCTAGAACTGACATCTGAGCAATAATTACCCAGAAAATCGTCCTGACCAAGTTTGATGACAATTGAGTCAAAAATGTGGCCACAATGCACCCTGCACAATGTTAACAAGGTTTTTCCATTTTTGGGAGGTGTGACGCCGAAGAATTAATGGGGAGATCATTGCGTAGAAATTACTGCGTGGAGATTTAGGAGTTTGGCACCGACTGTGGGCCGACGTTAATGTTTAAGGACGGCAACAGGAACAACATGACTTGAGCGTAAGCTCGAAATATTTGTTTTTCTTCCGAAAATATCCTGATAACATTAAATACAGTTATTTCGTAAGAACTCAATTTTATTCAATATAGCACGATTTGGTTTCGAGCCGAAAACATCTTGGGTCGAAATGACTCGAAATCGAACGAATCAACACTATACAGTAAGCGTCTGATGATAGAGATGGGTCGGAGACCTTGGCTGCGAACAGGGTCTCTCTTATGGCCATCAATCGCTACAGTGATTGTGGGCCATAAACCGCTGGGTACTAGAACACTAAATCTGTGTATTTTCTTCCTCGGTCCGCCTATCATGTACAGCTTATTACGGTACGTTTAAAAAGTATTGTAGAACTCTATCAAATGGAAAAAAATCTTTAAAACATTACATATAAAGAACAGTGGTGAACGTAACGAATGGTTGTCCAGCCAGACTTATTATGATAATTCGTATATAATTGCTTCTTATAGTCCCGTGTAAAAAACTTAAATGCTGGCAGTTATAGACTGTCTATTTGCTTGTGGACAGCGACATATGGCCCAATGTAAAAACTGAAACGACTTTAGTAATAGGCTATATATTTCTCTTGTAGGAAGCCACGTATGGCCCCGTGTAAAAAACTTAAATCTCAGCAGTACTGGACTGTCTATTCGTCTGTGGACAGCCACATATGGCCCCGTGTAAAAACTGAAACGACTTTAGTAAAAGGCTATATATTTCTCTAGCAGGTAGCCACGTATGGCCCCCTGTAAAAAACTTAAATATCGGCAGTACTGGACTGTCTATTCGCCTGTGGACAGCCACATATGGCCCATTGTAAAAACTGAAACGACTATAGTAAAAGGCTATATATTTTTCTAGCAGGTAGCCACGTATGGCCCCGTTAAAAAACCTTAAATATCGGCAGTACTGGACTGCCTATTCGCCTGGGAACAGCGACATATGGCCCCGTGTAAAAACTGAAACGACTTTAGTAATAGGCTATATATTTCTCTAGCAGGTAGCCACGTATGGCCCCGTTAAAAAACCTTAAAAATCGGCAGTACTGGACTGCCTATTCGCCTGGGGACAGCGACATATGGCCCCATGTAAAAACTGAAACGACTTTAGTAAAAGGCTATATATTTCTCTAGCAGGTAGCCACGTATGGCCCCGTTAAAAAACCTTAAATATCGGCAGTACTGGACTGCCTATTCGCATGGGGACAGCGACATATGGCCCCATGTAAAAACTGAAACGACTTTAGTAATAGGCTATATATTTCTCTTGTAGGTAGCCACGTATGGCCCCGTGTAAAAAACTTTAATATCGGCAGTACTGGACTGCCTATTCGCCTGGGGACAGCGACATATGGCCCCATGTAAACACTGAAACGACTTTAGTAATACGCTATAGATTTCTCTTGTAGGAAGCCACGTATGGCCCCGTGTAAAAAACTTAAATCTCAGCAGTACTGAACTGTCTATTCGTCTGTGGACAGCCACATATGGCCCCGTGTAAAAACTGAAACGACTTTAGTAAAAGGCTATATATTTCTCTAGCAGGTAGCCACGTATGGCCCCCTGTAAAAAAACTTAAATATCGACAGTACTGGACTGTCCATTTGCCTGTGGACAGCCACATATGACCCAATGTAAAAACTGAAACGACTTTAGTAAAAGGCTATATATTTCTCTAGCAGGTAGCC